TTATTCTGTAAGTGGCACGAGGGTATCAAAGTCAACTTTATTGTCAATCTTTCAGTACCCCTGACATGAGAGCCGCGCCAGTTTTACTTTTGTAGCAAGCAGCAAAAGAATTGTAACATGACGTGTTTACCTGCCTACCTGTCTACCTGTCTACCTGTCTATGACAAGAGTCTACGGACTTTTTAAAGAGTTTACATACTTTTTAATTTGACATTTCTTAATGATTGTTTCCGTAAAGACGTTAAATAAACTTAGTAGTAACAGGAAGACGACTTCTCTGCCTGTAACTGAAGCTTGTGTGGTTACAGTGACTGAGAAATTGCAACCTAGCTCAGTGTTTGTGACACCTCATGTAGATAATAGCACCTTACCCACAATGCATCAGAATACAGCTGCACAGTTTGTTTTTGTGTAACATGTCAGGGCTCGAAACCTTTGCATTTTCTTTTTACTTGCAGCTATTTTTTCTATATTTATTTTCTTTCTTTCTCTCTGCACTTTCGCCACAGATAACCTAAGAAATCCAAATTAGACAGATGCACCATTTTACTTTTACAAACTAAGAGATAACATCATAATTGTGTGAATCTTCTCTACGATCTGTTGACCTGTCTCTAAATGATTGCACCATCTTCACCTAAAACGAGTCTTAAGATATTTTACATATTTCAAATATTACGTCACCTTTCTTGCTTTCTTTCCCAGCGCTGAAGCCAAGTTTGATCTTGCATTTCCACGAATGCGACCAATTTTAGGCTTCCATAAATTAAGCACCAAACATTTTATGAAAGATAAACAAACTGACATCCTTTCAGTACAAGTTTGATGCATTTCTAAAGACGTTTTATTGGTAGTAATGTGCAGTACACCAAATATTTACAGTTAGTTAAGAGCCTTGGTTCATGTGAAGTTAAGAGTGTTTTCCAGGCATGTGTGTGAATGTAAACTGTTGCCTAGACATCATTTCTCAATGCAATAAGCTCGCAGTTAAGACTTTAATGTCTTGTCACTATTAGTGTAGAGTCTTTGTGTAATTTGCTTATCGTCAGACACAGCTTATGTTTGCAGCAGTTTGCGCAGAGTTTCAGGCTGAGAGCTCTGCTGTTCGTCAGTTGTCTCTGACACAGGAAGTGTGTGTGTGTGAGTGAGAGAGAATGTGTGTGTGTAGTAAAACAAGTGGCGGATGCATCTTCTCAAACGCTCACATTAGCTGCTGACGGCTGCTGTAAACACAGGAGGAATAACAGCCTGTTGATGCTGAGCAGAGGCTCTGACTCTGTGGATATATTTCAGTAATGGGATGCTAATAATCATTTTCAATATCGTTCACTAAAGCTGTTAAATCAGACTCTTATTATTGCACAAACAGTATATTTCAGGGCTTCCATCAGAGACCCGGGTAGCTGCTGAAGTGGCAGATATGGTTATGAACAATGTGTGTCCAGCAGATGTAAAAAAAATCCTTCAAACTTCCTCCCTCTCTTGTATCTTCTGTAAATTATCCCTAACACATATTGGCCATTTTCTACTTATTGAACCCTTTTCTTATAACGTATCCCAACTGCATCTTAAAGTGGACCTATCATGCTATATTTGAATAATATAGTGTAGGACCATACCTATATAAGGCATATTTATACTTTTTTTTTTTCAAAATACCAAACAGATCATGCATTTTAGCCATGCCTCATTTCGCTCAATTTGCACTATTTTACCCCTGTTTTTGCAAGGGCAGATTCTGTGAGAACAGCACCACCTAGAGGCCTGGCATATGTACTACAGCGTCTCCAGCGCTTTCGAACGGCAATGGCCGTGGCTGTCTCCTCCTGATTGGTGGAGTTGGCCCAATAGCCGTAGCGCCACCGTCCTGACGTCAGGACAGTGTTCAAATCTGGATCAGTTTTTATCAGATCCGTTGCAGCCCCTTTTTTTAGAGATTTGGGTATGGAGGAAAATAGAGAGGGTTGTGTTTTCTGACACTTGGTGAGTTCCCTGGAACACCGGGGACACATATTCATGTATAAAAGACGTACAAAAGTGCATTTTGCATGATAGGTCCCCTTTAAATAAAGCAGTTGCTAAGAAGTGGCTAGATGTTGTCTGAGATATTTGATGTTACCACAACACTTATTAAATACATTTCATTGGTTCAATGTACACTTAAGAAATGGCCACAGGACAGATTTCCCTGCAATTATCCAAGAAACATGCTATTCCCTTTTTCTCAAGAAACCAGTGAAATTCTAACTTCTGTGTCTTTGTGTCGACAAAGCCAGTGGATTTAAACAAGCTATAAATGTTTTGGCTTGTGACCCATTCAATCGAATCCATTATTATTGGTGCTACTGATTTTTAACAGCACATATTCATCTTCTCTTCATTGGGTTATTACAGAAATGGCCTTTGCTTCTCAACCGGCTTTCATGTTTAAGTGTATAAATGTATATTAATCTTCTCTCATGTTCATAAAGTTGGTCATGGTGTGTGTAGCACCAGCGTTTCCTCCGTCAACTTCTGTCTTTGCAGAAAACAATGACTCAACAAATCACTGAATGACTGATCCTTTATCGTTGCTGAAACATTTACAAAAAACTGTATATCACAGCCTTTCCTATTGTCCTTCCTGCACCTCAAAGAGCTGGATTGATATTCCCTCTAAAATATAATTGCTTTGTCTTTTTAACTAATGTATTTCTCTGTTTCTTTCCTCCCTTTCTCTTCACGTCTCATCGACTTGCCTCCTCCAAACGATGTCTACTCGTGTCACTTTATTGTCATCATGAAATCTGGACTGCTCTCCAACACAGCGGTACGTTTTTCACTTATTAATTATCACAGATAAAAGCTGTAGTTATGTAAAAATCACAGGTCACACCTACAGCTCAAATGCACCTTTAACTTAGAAAAGGGGGTTAAATACAGATGTTTTTTTTTAATTGCACTCGCATGACAAACTGGTAACACTATATACTGTCCCTTTTATCACCTTCATGATGCATATTGTTATACATTTGAGTGTGAAATGTCCCTAAATGGAGACATTTCAGTGTTTCCCACAGAATTTTATTCTATTTGTGGGGGCACCACCTATTCGGGTGGCCCACGCATCCACCCCCCCCTCAAATAAGAAAATACATGCGAGTTCATGGCTACTGTCGACAACGTTCTTGTTGCTCTGTGTTGCGTTGTTAATGAGTGAGACACACCGGAGTTGAGGATCTGTGGGGTTTATTCTCCCAAAAATATAATTTATAATTTCCAATTCAGGCATCTAGCAGACGCCTCATTCCAAAGCGATTACAGTGACCAACAGGGACATTCTCCCTGGAGTAACTGAGGGCTAAGTGCCTTACTCAAGGGCACACTAGTAGTGGTGTTCCAGGCGGGATTTGAACTCGCAACCTTCCGATCATCAGCCCACCTCACTATCCATTAGACCACCAAAAAATATTATTATTATTATTCTTCTTTTTATTAGATCCATTTGTGGCGGACGATATTTAATTGTGGTGGCCTGCCACAAATAAATCAATGTATGGGAAACACTGCATTTATTTAACTACGATCGATGAGAAATCAGTGTTTTGTATTTAGTTTTTTGACACCACAGTTGCTGAGATTTGAGCTAGCAAGTCAAACGTCAATCTGGTCTCATTTTTCTAGTTTAATCTCATTTTATCTGTTTTATTTTTGCTCCTCAGCTACAGAAGAACCTGGAGGGTTATGTTGGCTTCGCAAATCTCCCCAACCAAGTCTATAGAAAATCAGTGAAGAGAGGCTTCGAGTTCACACTCATGGTTGTTGGTGAGTAATCCTCTATTCATACACGAATGATAACACACACACGCGCACACACACACACAGCGGTTACAGTTTCTTAATTCATGTTGTTGGTACATACAGTAGGTGTTACTTACTGTACATGTGTGTGTAGCAGTGTTGGGTTTCACACACATTTTTTAGCAGAGAGTGATAGCAGCTGTTCCTCTCAGCGCATTAGAGATGGTTTCAAGTTTCAAGGCGTGTGTGTGTGTGTGTGTGTGTGTGTGTGTGTGTGTGACTTCCTGTCATTCCATTCATGAAGCCAGAGCAGCTGATGTTAAGGGAGTCGACCCATCAGCTCTTTCCTCTCTGTCACAGCAGAGCTACCTGAGCAGGAAGTGGCTCTGAATGCCTCTGTGATGTCACTTCCTGTCGCCTGGCTTTCAGTGACTACCTGTCAGCAAGACTATACATATAAACAACTATATACTGGGTTATAAGCAGGGTTTACTTTCATAATATCAAAACATTTCCTGCCTGACGTCCAGCTGAGTATTTTGTTTTGCGACACCTGGAAGATGTTTGACGTCATAAAATATCACTATCTTTCCTAACATTTGGACCGTCTATGTTATTTAATCATCTCTTTTTATTCTATGCACACAACATCTATATCACGTCTGTCCATCTTGAGAGAAGGATCCTCTTGAGGTTTCTTCAAAAAGTGATATTGTGATGTATATAAATAACATTTGATAGATCCAAACAAAGTTATTCTTCTTGGACTCTGGAATTATTTATCAAGACGTTTCCAAAATACACACCTGCTTTACTCGAAGAACCTCACAACCATATTTATAAAAACTCAGCTATTTTTCTTCTAAGGATGTACAAATATCAGGCTTCTGTCGTTAGGGTTAGGTAAGGCTTTCTAGTTTAAGTGGAGATGGGAGGGCACTGGGAGTGTGTAGTTGTGTAACTGGTACACGCCCATTAGAAAGACAACAAGAAAAAAGTCTTGATTCCTGATGTGTTCATACTTTCCTGGGAGTGTGACAGCACCTTGGTTTCATGTGAAATGTCATTTTGATGATGTAATGTTTTAATAAAGTAGGCACTGCCAAGAGTACAAACTCATGTTTTTATATAGAAAATATCAACATAACATATTTAAAGGTTGTGATATGCAGAGGAGTAGTCAGGGTGTCCGCGGGGTCTTAAAAAAGGTCTTAAAAGCGAAATTGAAGGCTATTAAAAAGTATTAAAGGGAATTTTCCAAGGTATTCCATTTTGTAGCTTGTTTTCAATAAGTATATAAATTGTCCAAAGAGGTTGTATTCTACAGTCTGCCTGAATGTAATCATTGCGTAGTGTGATTCTGTGTAGTTTATTTATGGCATCCCGTTGGATTTGACGTCATCTGAACAGGACATCGCACGCTCACTGCTTGATAGCGCGCGAAGGTCCGTTTACGCCGGTTGTTAAACAACATCGTTATGGGGAAATGCAAGTTTGCGTCCAAATGGTTGGAAGATAAGGAGAAAGGACAATCAATACTGTATATAGTCAATGTGAGGTAAAGTGTGTCGCCAATGTAACCGGTTAAAACTCAAAGTGGCGATGAGGTCTTAAAATGTATGAAAAGGGTCTTAAAAAAGGTCTTGAAAGGTTTTACATTTGACTTCAGGATTCCTGCATATACCCTGGAATAAGATATGACCTGATAATGTCTTCCAGTGGCTTCAATTCATACTTTATTAAAGGTAGGGGTAGGTAAGTTTGAGAAACCGGCTCGAGATACACTTGTTGTTATATTCCATGGAATGCTCTTAACATCCTGATAGCAATGAATATCTGAAGTGCTTTGACAAAAAATCCAGAAAGAAATATCATCTGTGGAAGCTGTAGTACTGTAAAAAGTACGACCAATCATCTGAGCCGGCCCGGCTAAAATAACTGGATGGCCTACCTGCCTGTCAGCCTTCCATCTGTGCACAAACTTATCTCGTGCCCTCATTGGTCATGTGCGCGTTCGTGTGTGTTGGAGGAGGGGCTCTGTAAGGAAGTGGCAGATTTTCTCCGGTTGTGTATTTTCAAATTCTAGCGATCTCGAGCCGGTTTCTCAAACTTACCTACCCCACCTTTAAGGGTTGATAATATACATTCATACACACACATGTTCATATATATAAATACACACTTAGAAATTCCAACTCCCATCAGATGACCTCCTCTCTTACCTCATTCTGTGGAGTTTCCCCCTGCTGTGCTCTCAGGAAAAAGACTGTACTGTAGTAATTTAGTGTGCAGCGTGTAATTAGAAAAGCAGGGTAATGTGTGTGTGTGTGTGTGTTGTCATGCAAAGAGGAGATGAAGCGTCAGATAATGTGTGCTTTGCTTTAAATTCTTGGGGTGTTAAAAGCACGTTTGCAGACCCAGCGGTTATGGAAATGATGATGAAGTGGAATTTCTAGACGCATTTTTCAGACAGAGACTATGGGGACATGTTTCATGTTATTTTAAGGCTTACTTTATTAGACATTACATCATTAAAATGACATTTCACATGAAACCAGGCTGAGCACACCCTCAGGAAAGAATGAAGACATTTTTAGTTTTTTTATAATGGGCGTCTTCCACTTTCATAACTACACACTCCCAGTTGCCTCCCGTCACATAGCTTCAACTAAAAAGAGCCCCTCTGAGACCCTCTCTCTTGCAACCTAATCACTCAATGTCCTTTCTAAATGCATTCAGAGCATTTAAATAGCAGCTATGTTGAAATATAAAGAAGTAATGTGGTTCTGGAGTAGAGAATTAAATCACTCTCAGTCATTGTGTGGTATTTAAGCAGGAATGCCAAACTTAAGCTTTTTAAATACGAGGATTCTTTGCATTTCTTTCTCATAAATGCTCGTTAGTGTTTAGTGTCTCCAATGTTCAAAATGCTCTTTATTTTTCTCATACTGCCTGTGCTGCAGCACCTCTTTTCACCCTCTGTCTGAAACCAGAGCTGCTCTGATTGGTTAGCTGGCCGTCTCTGTGGTGATTTGTCAACCGTTTAGAGATGTCCCGCCCCTTAGCCTATCACGTACAATGTGTTGGAGCGCTAGCCAATAGGAGTGTTACATAGTGATTTCACTATGTTCTGGATGTAAACAGAGGATTTTTATGCAGTCAAATAGATAACTGTTGAAACCTAAGTTGTTTATTTATGTTCATTCATTGACTTTAGAAGTTAATTTGGTTTCTTATTTTGAAAATATGAAGTTCTTTATAACCCTGTGTGTTTTCTAAGAGACGGTTATCTTGATATCTCAGGAATGCCTTGAAGGAAATGTCTTAATTTTTTTTAGTCAAAGTGGACGTTTGTACCAAATTTAAACTTGTTAGAATTTGGTCATCAAAGGTAAAAAGACACTGTGACGAAAAAACTAATTTTTACCCATGACTCAATAACGTACACACCAATTTTGACAATTTCACACGAATATCAAATGGCTTTTAAGGATAAAGTTGTGACATTTTGGACAGACATGGATTTTAACTGCATTTCACTGATTTGCAGCGAGGAGGGAGTTCTAGTAGTGGAGGGGAAAGCGATTGTTAGCGGATGAGTGAAAGTGGGCCAGAGCCATTTGTTGGACAGAGTCAATATTTGCCAGTGATTTGCACATTGGCAGGAAGTGACCTTGATGTGAGCCGGAGCTCATTGTGTTTGGTCGACAGAGAGGTGAAACAGCTCTGTTTTATCCCTTTTGGAAAGAATCCCACTCACATAAACAAGACAAGCTTTTAGGAGAAGGAGAGGAAATCTGACATCTGGCTTTCAGAGCAGACCTGTCAGCAAGGCTGTACATATAAACACATTTAAACGGGGTAATAAGCAGCGTTCCTTTTCATAATATCAGAACATTTCCTGCCTGACGACCAGCTTAAGTTTTTTTTTGCGACACCCAGAAGATTTTTGACGTCAACCTGAATCCACACTTTATTTATTGGTTTTTCCCCACAACACAATAACAGGAGAAAATACAGAGTACAAATGCAGGTGCTATATAAAAAAACAAATACAAAAAGATAATAACATAAAAAGACCGAATCCATCTTCTTTAAAAAAATGTAAAAAAAGATATACTTACAGTGTTAATTTCGTCAACGAAAACTATGACGGAAAATGTTCGTCAACGACCTTTTTTACACGACTAAGACGAGACGATGACGAGCTAAAAATAGATTCTTGATAATAAAAACTATGACGAAATGTATATTTAGTTTTCGTTGACGAGACGGGACTAAGGTGTTAATGGTGGACTATCGGACATTCAAAATGCAGGGTATTTTCCCCCAAGTGTCCGTCTTGTCTGTCAAAATGCATCTTACGGTCTTTTTATGTTTCATGTGGAACCTATATGCTGCAGGTCTCCCTTGAAAAAGAGATCTATGATCTCAATGGGACCAATTTGGTTAAATAAAGGTTTGAAATGACATGAAATGAAATGAAATGACGGTTCTAATTTGCAATATCATTATTTCCGCTCTCTTCACTCCAGAAGAGCGATCTCCCGGTGTCTCTCTGTGTGCGGGGGGGTGGGGCCTCTCTCTCTCTCTCTGTGTGCGGGGGGTGGGGCCTCTCTCTCTCTGTGTGTGGGGGGCGGGGCCTCTCTCTCTCTCTGTGTGCGGGGGGTGGGGCCTCTCTCTCTCTCTGTGTGTGTGGGGGGAGGGGCCTCTCTCTCTCTCTGTGTGCGGGGGGTGGGGCCTCTCTCTCTCTCTGTGTGCGGGGGGGTGGGGCCTCTCTCTCTCTCTGTGTGGGGGGGGGTGGGGGCCTCTCTCTCTCTCTGTGTGGGGGGGGGTGGGGCCTCTCTCTCTCTCTCTCTGTGTGGGGGGGGTGGGGCCTCTCTCTCTCTCTCTCTCTCTCTCTCTGTGTGCGGGGGGCGGGGCCTAACGCACGTTGCAGCGGCGTGCACACAGATTTTTAAGAGTAGTAGTACCGTTAAAAACCTTAACGATACCCATCCCTAGATATTGGTGTTAAGAGAGTG